TGTACATCAGAAAATGCGCCTTGAGGCATGGAACATATGTACCAAATATGCCAAAGATGTCTACAAAATTATCTCAGTTATTATTAAAAAACTGATTATTTTTGAAAACTTTGCCACCCTGTATCTCAAAAGTTAAGGCGTTTAGGACATACGTCCATAGTAAGTTTTTTTCTTAAAAAGGGTCTAAGAATTACCTCCTTAAATATTAGCATGTGTTTAAGGAACACCCTGTATAAACAATTCATCTCCAAAGAGCAGAACAAATTTTCAATGAATTAGCCCATTAAACCGAATAAAAACTAAACCCATTGACTTGTTCAGTTCCATCATCCATGAACTATTTTTTCCCACTGCCGATTCATATTCATCCCCACATTTGCACTTGTAGCACGTCTTTAACCGCTATCGGAATCACATTTCTCTTCCTGCGAAGGTTTAGCGGCATTTTCTCTCCATACGTGACAAATTTCCAATCCCTCACCTGAGTTTGTCAAAGTACTTCTCAAGGTTTATGTTCTCCTGGACGAAAAGCGATTTGTGCGTCTTCGAATGGAGTTACATCCCATAGGCGCATCTTCCGGGAGTGTCGCAAGCGCACAACTTTCAACTTCAACTCTCATACAGAAATGATCTTCAGATATGTGGATTCACAAGCCTGGGATGTGATATCATGTAGCTTCACAATTTTTTTCTTGAATGATAATCAGTAGATTATGTGTGGTGTGTTGTTGAAAGGGGTTTGGATCAAGTGGCAGAAGTCTCCACGTAAATGTATTATGTTTATGATCTGCTTAGCCAGATAACTAAACCATCAATACATTCATCCAGTTCAGAGTTGATATCAACTTTTTTGTGACGATAGTCATTCTGGCTTCATCCATTATAATAATCAACTTACTAGAAACAGGTAATTGACATAAAATCCCTTCAAATACCATTGAGTTTATTATGTTTCTATTGAAAAGAATTCTTCCAGTGATGCATTCCAAATCATTCAAAAACTGCAACCAATAAAACCGATTGAAAAATATCACACTATCACGGCCCCTTATAGACTCTCTGAAGTATTCGAATATACTTTTCTGGAACGCCTTTGTTCATTCTAAAATGAACTTTCCATACTGAATCAATTGCAGCATGGATTTCGTTTCCGAAAATAAAAAATATGGCAATGTTTTCAAATAAATAAAATCACAGAATATGTTAACGGAGGGGAATGCCCAGCCGTGTACCTTTGTGATTCAACTAGGGCTTCTCATTAGGTTATACATAATAAACTTACCTCAAATTTAGAAATATATGGTGTAATGAGGGTTTCTCCCAGTTGGCCGACTTTATTTTTGAAAGTAGAAAATAATTCGTGTCAACACAAGTCAATAGAATGGATGAAATTCAATTCTAAGTATAGATACTCAGAAATCAAAGTGGGTGTACCACAAGCTTCAACAATTGGTCCTGCATTGTGTATCCTCTATGATAAATGATATTTAATCAGTAGTTACTGGAGGTCATTATACCGCTTATGCAGGTGATTTTCCAATAGTTATGGCTGCACCAGATACAACGATATTATGAAAATATTTGTGCCAAAATGGTAAGCCCGATATCAAATTACTTCAATAACAATTATTCATTCTTCAATGCAGATTAAACAGAAGTTATTTGTATTCGCCATTGGTAAAATACAGTGAAAAACATATATTTCATTGTGAACAAATACTAATGACAATGTAAAATTAATACAGTTTAATGTATAATGCACCAAGAGATTGTGGTAGTTGTTCGAAAAATATCACGGTATTAGAGAGAGAGAGAGAGAGAGAATATACTTTATTGTCATAAGATTGATCTTGTGGACAAAGTTGCACTTAATCTATAATGCAATTATATGTAACAACAAAGTGCATTTATTTTCACTCATACATAAAATCAGTTTGTATATATATATATATATA